CCAAATATAGAAATTTCAAAATTTCTTCATTATATTGGTGCTCATCGTAGGTGACTGCGCCATGATAGAAGTCCCGATCGAGCTGATATACTCACGATCAGATCAGTGTGGACTTATGTCCTCATTGTCAATATATAATAAAAGTTTGAGCTCGTCCGCTCTTCCCTGACGAAGGATACAAAAGTGTCTCCTTCTTGTGAAGTATGTATTTTTCTGAGTCTATAGACTAATGTTAAAAAGAAAAATATTAAACGACTAATATTAAAAATCAATTAAATATTTCTGTCTTACAACAAAAAGAAAAAATATTTTTTAATTGATTTATAATATTAGTCGTTTAATTTTTTACTTTTTAATATTTTTCGGCATATCCATTTTTCTTGAGTAATCTGATATGATAGGGCAAAAATCGACAAAGCATACATTAAAAATGTTTTTTCATGTACGTTCCAGTATCAATGAGTGTTGGTAGTTGCTGAAGAAGTGATCAAAACAGATGATTTTTTCGCAGTATCTGTATCGAATGAGGCAAAAAAGTGATATCCTGCCAATGCACAGTGCCCTGTTTGAACTTGGAACAAACATTGGCCACTGTTTGAAATTGTCCGGGATGGATGGACATCGACATAGCCGGTATTGAACCAGGCGTATCGAATCGTAGGAATGAAAACGAGAGTAGAAAGTTGATTGTAGATGAGATAGTGTGGACGGATAATGTTATTTCGTTTTGCCAAATGTACGTTGTATTGTCTACTGAAACAGGCATCGAGAGGTTGTATTTTTGGCGTGGTCGTTTTCAGTCGACGAAGACCTTTGATCACTTCTTATAAATGTAATGTCCTTTCCATCACTTTGTCTAGATCAGCTATCCGAGAAGAAATCGAGTGTAGAAATGCTTGATCATGCCAGTGAAAGTGCCCTGGTGAGGAGTGGCGAGCTTGCAAGAGGCACTGTATGTCATCACCATGTTATCCGCTTTCAAGAGATGAGTCCTTATATTTTTACACAGTTGTTTCTTGTGCTCTTTCAAACACAGGTAGATGGGGCCGACGATTTTTTTTGCTCAGACTGATAGTAAGTTGAACAGTGTAATTATGAGTCGTGGTATTGGCGAAGCGAATGGTTGACAAAGTAGTTTTCTCGCCTCGATGGCTGAGGGTTCGACTAGAGAGTGCATTTCCTGTTGCATTTCTTGTAGGCCAAACTGATTAGTGTAAAAAACCAAATCGTCATTGTATGTCTGAAGAAGAGTACAAACGTTGGTCACCAATTGGTCAGCAAACCTTTGAATTTCTTCGTTTGTCACTTCTGGTTTCGTTACAATCTGGAAAAACATGCACATTCCATTCCGTAAATATTGAAGAATTCTGTCTGTGGTAAAGACTGCTGACCTTCGTGATCTTGCGCAAGCATATGTCACGTGTATATTTGAAATTCAGAGTTCAAGTATCAGAAGCCACGCAAGTGTTGACATAAGTCCACACTGATCGTTAGAATATCAGTTCGATCGGGACTTCTATCATGGCGCAGTCACCTACGATGAGCACCAATATAATGAAGAAATTTTGAAATTTCTATATTTGGAAGAGTCGATGAGCTTCAGATCATTATGGCCACTATGACTACTAACCGCAATGAAAATATCAGCTCAATCGGGTTCTTTTGACCGAGAAATCAAAGATTTACCGGCAAAATTGCGTTTTTTACAAACTTGAATATTTCCCAACTTCACTCGAAAGCACTATGGGCCCAGAACAACTCGGACGTTTTCACTGCTCAGTATGGTCTACATACTAGAAATAGTCTGAAGCGAAAAGCGATTTATCACCTTGACAGGTTCCCTCATAAGCAGAAAATGATGGTGAATTCTCTTCCGTCGTGTCTCAACATTTTTTAGGGTAAATCTTACTCTCCACATTGTTTCGAAAATTTTCTTTTTCATACGAAATAAAACACATTCGCATATTATTGAAAATCAAATCTGTTTTTTGACTTTTATGCATAAGGAGCGGACGTGAGAGAGTCAAGCCTCACTTATTTTTGACATGTCATTAAAACACATAGTTTGATCCAGACATACAAGAAGAGAATAGATTCTCTTGACTTAGACAATATTTGTTCCAGTTTTACTTTGAAAATTGAACTTGGAAAACAGTTTTCCCGTGCTTTTTATGTCATTTGTTTTTTTTTATTGATTTACATAGTGTTTTTATCCGTATTCAAAATAAAACATGGCTTTTATTCTTCTTGACGCTTCGAAAAAAATTCAATGAGAAGAGAAAAAGATAATATTTTGAGTTTCATCTATTTTCAAAAGTCTTTGCCGTCTATACTTCTGTACAATCATTTCTCAAACACTCTCTCTTAAGAAGATGGAAAGTTATCTTCGATTTTTCCTGAAAAGAAAAGGTAGCGCTTTTCTTTTGGAAACCTTACTATATCATTTTGCAAAAAAAAAAAATATTTTTCTTCTCGTTCTGTATCATTATTTCATTTTTTTTTTGTTTTGTTTGTAGACTAGTCCTACGGGACGCAGTACAAATGTTACGTGACCGTGTCACTTACTTCTAGTTACTACAGTAGATTAGATACATTTTTTTTTTTTAATAAAAGAGCTTTTCTAATGTTAGAAGACGTTTAGATCACTCCTAGTTTATTTTCTAGTAATTTTCAGCTTTGAAATATAGTACAGCATATCACCGACAGAAAACTAAAGTTCATTTAGAGTTTCTAGAAAAATACTTTTTCGTATTTAGCATACTCGATAATCCAGTAGATTTTCTATTTTTGACGAGGGATACTGTTAAAAGTTTAAGAAAAATTTTGAAACTAATATTATTTTCCCTATGGAAATTTTTTTACACCATTTTATTCGAAAAATTTTCCTAAACTTTTGACAATATCTCTCACCAAAAATAGAAAAATCTATTGAGTTATCGAGTATGCTAAATACAAAAAGACACTTTTCTAGAACTCTAAATGAACTTTAGTTTTTTTTCTTCATGATGATATATATATACCACTGTTTCATTTTGCAAAAAAAGACACGTATATATATATCTTTAGAGAAATAATTTTATATTCTATTTACACCATTATTTCAACGACAATAATAATAACGAAACAATTATCATATTTAATTTCAGATGGGTAATTGTCCTCCTGAACATAATTCGACCATAATAACAGATGTCGGCCATAAAAGTCTTGATCCAGCGTGTAACGGTGAACGAATGTGGACAACATTTTTATTTTCATCTTTATTTACATTATTTGGTGGTTATATTATCATTCTTCTCTATGATTTATCAAAAGCTGCTGTCATTAAACAAAGAAGATTAAAATTAGTTCGTTATATCAAATATTTAGGAAGAATGAATGATGAAGTAAGAAAGAAATTATGATTTTTTTATTAAATTAATTTTTCTTTTTTTTGTACATTTATCTCTCTTCTTTTTTTTTTTTATTTTTAGTTCGCAACATATTATCGACCAACTCATTCGACAAATGAGACAAATTCAGATGATGATTATTTTAGTTGGTTAACAGCCATTAAAGAATGGGAAAATAATCTAATTTCAGGACAAACAAAAATGGGAAAAGCATTGGTAATTATTAAATAAAAGAATAAAACCTTTGATGATTTATTTACTCCCAAGAGTAGAAAAATTTTCTATCGTAAACAATAATGTATAAACTTTAATGAATAGTACATAAAAAATAATATACATTTGTTATTAGACTTTCCCAGAATTATTTCAATTGAGTAAAAATTTATTCGATTGAAAAAATTTAATTTTGAAAACGATCTTTCTTTTAGAAAAGAAAGATTTTTCGATTTTGAAAAGGAAATTAAGTAAAATGTCCTACATAATCTTATCCCATACACGAGTTTTGTATCCGATAAAAAATAAAAGGACTCATGAAAACGCTTTTCGACAGAATAAGTAAAAAGTTTTCTGCTCTTTTACTTTCATTTTGTTTTCAAACATTTGATTCGATTTTACATAGACCAAAAAGTGATATTTTTTTATCAATATTTTTTGGTTGAAAGAGCTCAAAATCAATCCAAAAGTCAAATTCTATTGAAAGCATCGTTCTTCTCTTTTACAGAAAGATTCAGCTACAATTATCTTCGTTTTAATAGAAAATAGTCTTGATTTCACGATGAAAAAAACAAAATATCATCAAAAACACGCGTTCACAGTTTCTTATATTCATTTTTTTTTCTCAATTATCACATCCATCTAGACTTTAATCTCAAAAGTTTAAAGTATTATCAAATGATGTCAAAATTTTACGAAGAATTTTTTTAGTTGAGTAATCGAAATGTGAAACGAACTCCATTTTAAGAAATAGATTTTGTATTTTCACTTATTTCTGATGGTACAGTAAGAACATTTTACTTTTCCTTATTTCATAGCAAAATTGTTTTCAAAATTAAATTCTCCATATCAAATGAACTTATACATAAATTTTTATTCAATAAATAACATCGGAAAAGGTTGTCAACAAAAGTGTGTGTTATTCTTTATGCACTACCCGTTATTTTTGATAAAAAAAACTATACAAGTTAAGGATAAAGAACAATAATAAATATTATTTTCTATTTTTTTATTACAGTTTGGCATTATATTTTTATGTAGTATTGCATCATTGATACTCTATTTTGTGGATACAAAAAATGCGTACGTTAGTTTGTTTATTCTAAAATATTTAAATGACAATTTAATATTTTTATCCATTTAGATATATTGAATCATGTACAGATTTTCATAAATCAAAAACAATGCAAATGGATCTCGGTTTAAATATTCTCTTTCTCATCTATTTTTTTCTTCGAGTACGTATTAAAAAGAATTTCTTATTTTTCAAATTTTTTTCATTTCAAGTTCATTCATGTCAATTAATTTTAACACATTTTAAAAAGTTGTTATATTTTAACTCTCGTTTGAGTCAATGAGTTTGTGTATCTCTAGAAAAAATCAGAATTCTAGTCACTGGATTCCATATCAACAAATTTTTGATGAAATTTACATACACATCGATTCTAATTGAAAACTCTTTCAGCTAATCAAATCAATTTTAGAAGATTTGTTCGGATTTTTGTGATCAAGCTAAAAGCGTTAAGTGTTAAAATCGATTCTATCGTTTTTGCACAGAACTAGAGTATTTTTATATAACGAAGAGACAGAAGTGAAAGATTTTCGTCTCGCAAACTTTTCAAAAAAATAGTATGCCCTTTAATCATCAAAGACTAGTTCCTTCCTCATTTATTTATAGAAGAAAATGATCAATCATTCATTGTCATGCAATAGGGAAAATGTTGTTTTAAAATGAACTATTTTTTTTCTTTATTGATCTGGTACCGAATAGGCATGCACCAGTTATTAACTAGTGTTGGGGCATCCGGGAGAATTGCTACAAATCAGTTATCACGATTCTCTCAGAGCTGCAAACAGCTAATTTTGTAGAAAAATGTTTGCTCTACAAAATGCATTTGTTAAAAGAATTCCAGAATCATTTCTGAGAAAACTTAGAGCATTCTAAAATACATTAAATCACGGAAAATTAACTGTTCGAACAGTTAATTTTCCGTGATTTAGTACATTTTAGAATGCTCTAAGTTTTCTCAGAAATGATTCTGGAATTCTTTTAACAAATGCACTTTGTAGAGCAAACATTTTTCTACAAAATTAGCTGTTTTGCAGCTCTGAGAGAATCGTGATAACTGATTTGTAGCAATTCTCCCGGATGCCCCAACACTAGTTAATAACTGGTGCATGCCTAGTACCGAACTATGATTCGTATACCATTTTGTTTTGTTTTTCATCGGCTAGTTATCTATATGAAATGCTATTCGAATTCCGTTCGAGATTTTGAAGAGACTTAGATTTAGTAAGCACTATTATCCTCATGTCACTTTAGAATTACTTCAGAATAATTAGTTTAAAATATTTTCTGTAATGTTCCAACGATTCAGATTAACTAAAAACATGTGTAAAAATATTTTTTTCTATAAAACACTATTATATTAAAATTAAGGGAAAGAAACAATGGATAGAAATCAATACAAATTGATCTTCTTTTTAAAAATTTCTCGATTACATATAGTATCTCGTCAGACACTTCTTATCGGAATAAAATAAAAATAGGATTTCGATTGAATAAAACAATCAATCAATTTTATTTTAGTCCATGATCTTAAAAAGATGATAGAGTAATCATAAAAGTTCAACAAAGAACTTGTCTAGGTCATCCCTAGTAAAAAAGAATAGAAATGAAGGTTGATTAAAATGAGGTATCTTCCAGCTCTACATGAGTTTTCTTTTCAAAGTTATGGAGTTTACAAGAAAAGTCCTAAATTAATTTTTTCCTTATTTCTATGGCTTTGAGCTGACAATGAACATTCAGGGCTTTTCTTGTAAATTCTATAACTTTGCAAAGAAAGATCTTCTAGAGCTGGAAAATGTCTCATTTTAATCAGAAATGTGTGCGATACAACTATGCCTCATTAAGAAAGGTACTATAATTATTTATTAATATAATGATATATTTTTTTGATTTTCGTTTTTCCACTTTAGTTTACCGCATCTCAACATAAACGTCGATTTTGGTTTAGTTTATATGCTGTTGTTGACATGTTTACTATTCCACCATCATTTGTTGCACTCTATCTTAATCGAAATTGGATTGGTACGTTAGGCATGATACTAATGAACTGTTTGTTTATTGCACAATTGTATCTGATGGAGTTCTATTGTTAGAATATATCGCTACTAAACTATTTTTCATTCAAAGTTTTGCGGAAACTGACTTTACTTAGAATCACACACTCTATGAATAGTTCCACTAAAACTCACTTAAACTATTTTATCTATTCATTCAAGGTTTTCGTTTCTTACGTGCTATTCGTATAATGAATATGCCTGATATATTGCAATATATGGGTGTAATCGAACGTCCAAAAGCCATACGAATTGTTCAATTAGCATCAAAATTTATTGCTGTTTGGTTTGCGGCTGCCGGAGCTGTTCATCTGGTAAACATTATATTTATTTATTTGTATTATTTAAAATTATATTTCTTTTTTTATTGTACATTCTAGGTGGAAAACAGTGGTGATTTCTTTTGCGATTTTCGTAACGCTCATGAATTAGATGTATTTAATGCCATCTATCTTATGATTGTTACAATGACAACGGTAATTTATTAAGTTAAAATTAAATATAATTTATCAAATATATTTGATATTTTATTTCTAGGTTGGCTATGGTGATATATTTTGTAAAACATATATTGGTAAATTATTTATGCTCTTCTTTTTGATCGGTGGTTTGGTAAGTCTATTGTTTTTTTTTTCAAGTTATAAAATTTTATCTTATATTACTTTTATTTATTGTACAGGGATTTTTTGTGGCCATGATTCCAGAATTTTCGAATTTGTTCGGTGCAAGTGGACAATATTCTGGACGTTATAGAATTGTTAAAGGCAAAAGGTAATATTTTCTGTGTTTTTTCTGTCTTGAGTAACACAAAAAAAAAACGAAAATATCTATCTAGTTTTTGAAGATTCAGCTGTGAGAGTACGATTAAATGAGGATTGTGATTGAATCTTTCCGATGTTTTTCCAGTACAGTAATCAAATTGTAGAAATTATAGACTCTTTCCAAAAGATGTCTTTTAACCTTTTGAGGTTCATGTTTTATAATTATTTTTTACAACATAATTTATAAAAATGAGTACGTAGTCTCTTGGAATGACGCAATGGAGAATCAGCCAATTAATAGTAGATGGACTTACATGGAAAGATATGAGAGATTCGTCTGTGCCTAAAATAAGTTAATATAACGATGTGCTTCAATTTAATCCAGCAAAAATAATTTAGTTAAAAATAGTGTTACATGTTTGTCTTCTTTACGATTGATTTTATCAAACTTGTAGTACAAAACAGATCTAAAAACAATTTTATTGGAATATTTTTTGTTCTTTTTATTATAGACACGTGATTCTGTGTGGAAATGTGACTGCTCATTCGATGACAACATTTCTCAAGGACTTTTTACATAAAGATCGTGAACAAGTCGATGAATTGGACGTGGTTATTATTAATAAGTAAATATTATTTATATATGATAAATGTTTAATTGATCATTATTTTATTTTCAATATTTGTAGACGAACGCCTGAAATTGAAATGGAAGCCTTGTTAAAACGTTATTATGCAAAAGTAAAATATTTTGTTGGAACCGTGATGAATATAGCAGATTTACAACGGGTGCAAGTACGTTGAACATATATCTAGAAATTAATCAACTTCAATGGTGAGATTTTCTTCTTTTTCTTTATTTAGGTTGACAAAGCTACAGCATGTCTGATTATTGCTGATAAAGAATGTGCTGATCCAGATGGTGAAGATTCGGCCAATATAATGAGAGTAATTAGTTTAAAAAATTTTAATCAAAGAATTAGAATATTATTACAACTTTTACAATACAGTAATAAAGTAAGAGCAATAACGACATTTTTTCTATAAATTTTATTTCATGAAGTCCCCTGTTTAAACATGATGAATCTGATATCACCTACACTCAGGATCTACTATTTCACAGAGTGTTATTTTATTCCTTAAGGGCCTCTAAGTCTTACGGTTTAGAAGTTTTCCAGAGATCAAGGTCCAAAAAGGACCCTGAAGGTTTTCCCAAGATGTTTTAATATACTTCAAGTTGGAGAGTTCGGATTTATTTTATTTTAAACTAGACACCTAACTACATGGACTGATCGGCATCGATTTTTCAATTAAGTCTTTATTGGTTTTCCAGGCAACCAACAACCTGCAAAACCCAAAAAATCCTTCCGGGTTTTCTAAAACTTCTCAATTTGACAAAAAACCTAAGACTTAATTCAAAAATCGGTGGCAGTCAGTCCATGTAGTTTCTTTTCCTCTTTTAAACAAAAAAAGAATGAACTCTTTACGACGCACCGCTATAAAAAATCTTGGGAAACACTTCAGGTATAACTTCCATGTAGAGAAAACACTGTATAAAATGCTCGCTTTAGAACTTGTAAAAAAAGACTTGTAACTTTTTGATGCAGGATCACACAAAGTTGTACGAGGTCTTATTTTGATCAGAAAAGTTTGCTGTACAGGTCTGTGCGTTCAGAAAAAGACCAGGTTATCGGGGCTCCTAGAAAACTTGCTCGAAAGCCGTGAAAAATCACTTATGTAACCGAAATCGATGCAGATTCTGAAAGTAGACACTTCAAGCTATCTTTCCATGTGCTTATCTCAAAACCGGTTTTTTGACCGAAAATCACCATTTCTGAGAGGGGGGGGCTCATAAATACAGCAGTTGTATGCTCAATCAAGTGTCTGAAAGTTGTATATGAAAAAAATATTTTTTCTTTTCTAGATGAATGTTGCATCAATACCGGGTTGGTCTGCAAAACATGGTGATGAAATTATCTGTATAGCAGAACTAAAATTAGGTTTAATTGGACAATCTTGTATTGTACCCGGTTTTTCAACAATGGTAAGAACAAATACATATAACTCTTTGTATTTTAATTTAGTATGATTTTTTTCTATAGATGACGAATATCTTTCGAGTATCAGCTTACAAAACGAAAGTATTACAAGAACAAGTATGTATCATATACATTAACTAAAACTTTGACAAATAGCATAAGATATCTAGAATCCTAATATTTCTAGCTAGTTATAAATATTTTTATAACAGTACAGTAAGTTATTCTTATTCGAATGCTTTTGTCAACAAAAAAAAAACAATGATAATATGAGTATTTTTGAAGTTTTAACATTATTTCAGATGTGAATTAGTCTCTGAACAATGCTTTTTTGTTTGGTTCTTTATTAATACCATAATACAAGATACGCTCTTAAAGCTAAAAACTGATATAGCGGTTTTTGTGCGCAAAAGAATAATATCATGCATATAAGTAAAATTTCATGAGGTTTTTCTCATACGGTTGGGAGTGCTTCTTATATTTCTCACTACATTTGTCTTTGGCTGCTTAGGCTATTTCTATTTTGAATTTCTTATTTTACAACTAATTTATCATTTAATCGTTCTCGAAATGTTGTTTTTTTTCTTTTTATTATGTGGAAAAAGACTACCTAGAAACGATTTTTGTTAAAATTATTTTATAAATTAAAAAGAAAACTTACTGGCTAAGGTGTTGTTGTATCAAATGTTGACAAATTTTGCTTTTTGCTGTTTGTTTTTTTAAACGACATTTTTACAATATTAGCATATTTTATTTGATCTCTTGATATTGATCAATTATTTTAGACTCAAATATGGCCATGGCGAGAATTGTATCATCGGGGAGCCGCAATGGAAATGTATCTCGAAGAATTACCACGTTCATTCTATGGAAAATCATTTCCAGAAGTTGCACTGTAAGTCTATATTTCATTTTATATTCTAATTTATTATTTCATTTTTTTTCTATTCTAGAACTTGTTTTAAACTACGTGTCATGTTACTAGCAGTTGAAATGAAACAAATTGATGTTGAAAGTGGTTTACATCGAACTGTGGTCGAAGTAGCACCTCAAGATAATTGTATTATTTTGTGTGGAACGCGAGCATTTATGGTTTGTAGTTCAAGTGAAGATGCAAAACGGTATATTTTCGACTAAACAAAAAATATATCATTTTTTAATCATTTATTTATGTCTTTTTATTAAGAATAAAATATTATTGTTCAATATGTTATCCAGACCTTGATCATCTAACCGATGCACAAGTTAGACGAATGAAAAAATGTGTTCATGGTAAGTGAGTGAGTTTGTTTAAAGTGAATTCTAAATTCTTTTGTCAAGCGATATTTGAGCAACGGACAAATACAACGTTTCTTTCGATCAACAAATCGAATAGATTTTACGTTTTGCATTAAGTAAGAGGATAAAGATAGTGAACGTAAGTGAAAAAAGAGCATTTCATGCGTTATTGTAGCAATTTTAGTGTAAAATTAGAAGTTTATTTAGTTATTTTGGCCACAGTTTGATTTATTTATCGATTGATGTAATCAAGATTTTCGATTAGGCGGGAAAATGGGGAACATCGTCATCCTAAATTTCGGTACTGTCCGCTAGATTTTTGCAATTTTTGTTCTGCGTAAAATTTGTTCAAAATTTGAGAATGATCTGGATGAAAATGTAATGACAATTCAACTAGCTAAACATCTATAAAATGAAAATTAGTATCAGGAAAAATGATGATAAAATTACAAGAAAATATTTTGTATACAAAGTCATTTTAAACAACTGTAATTACAGTCAAGTCAAGCGAATGAGTTCATAGAATAAAACCAACAGCAGAAAATATATTTAGGGTTGTAGAAGGGATCGGTTAACTGTCAATTGTTCAAACATCAGTTAATCAAATCCTTTTTTAGCTTTATATTATTGAGAATTCTTATTTAGCGCATGAAATCGATGCTGCTCGTAATGATCAATCATTATCTCCCTATCAACAACACGGTTCAAATATTAAACAAGCTTTAATGTAAATATATTTTTAAATAATAATTATCATACGCTAACAAGACGATTTTTATGTTCTAGACGTTTAGTTGAAGGAGATGTACGTCGTCCACTATTAAGTCAAGATATAGAGAAAGAACATGAAACAATTGTCTATAACGATTTGTATGTCTAGTAAACTGGCTACATTGTTGCATTTGTAAAGGTGTGCGTTTGTTTTGTTCTAGCTTATATATTCGCTTTCATTGTTTATATCATTTTTTTGAAACCACATATGATTTATTAAATTTATGTATTATATGCCATTTTAGTGTAAGTTGCTTTTATTCTATATCATTATCGTCTATTATCTTCTTCTTCTTCAGTGTAGATAAATTAGTTAATCGATATGCTAATATTATTAGTCACATCATGAATAAAATTAGAGAAGATGTGTGTGATTAGGAGTAAAATATTTTAATGAAGAACTATCCTAGTGAAACTTCCATTTATGACAGCCATGTTCATCAGATATAAGACTATATAGAATCATAGACTCGTCTTTAAACAATTATGTTCAAGAAGGAAAAAAATTCGAAATTAAGTATGGAAATATTCGTACTTATATTTACATAAGAGTGTAAAACAAAACGATGATTCAAGAATTTCCAACAATCTAGGATTACAAAATTCAATCACTCAAGATCTTAATCAAAGTCTTGTGACACAAGAAGTCAAGAAATTACAAGATGTTCTTGAAATTTCTTAAATTCTGACATTTTCTTATCAAGATCTTACTCAAAAATTCAAAATCTTGGTGACAAGAAGTTTCACTAGGATATTCATCATCTGAAAATCTCGATTTTATCAAACTTCATATATATTACCATAAATTCGTTGAATTCTCAGATGATAACATTTTAATAATTTTGAGATCAAAAGTTGTTTTATTAATTGCTAATAAGGGAACTGACTCGCTTGTGCTTCAAAACATAGTTGATAATTATGATGTTGATCACGAATAATTTCTTCCGGTATTGTTGTCAATAGCATCATTTTGATTTTTGAGATCTTCTTGATCACAGAATATTTTTTCGAATAAACGAATGTTGATTTGTGGATATTGTAGAGCATGTCGGATTATGGACTTCGTTCATTCGAAAGATATTCTTTGGTCAAAAAAGGTCCCAAACATAAAAAACGATGCTATTGACAACAATATGGGAGGAAAGCAGCATCATAATTATCAAGTATGTTTCGAAGAACAAGCGAGCCTGTTCACTTGAGTCAGTTCCCTTGTTAGCAAAATAGAGATTAGATGGAAAAACAAATAGGTTGCAGCTTCGTAAAAGATTCGAACGGCAGTGTTTTGCTTACATTAATAAGTTTTTTCAAGTGGTAATCTACATCTTTGAGTCTTTTGCTGTCCTCACTATATTATAGTCATCATGTTTTTGTTTTTTTAATACAGACCCTCCGTCAAAGATATAGAAAATTTCGATTCAACAGGAATGTTTTATTATTGTTCACCTCGTCGAATTCAAGAAGCTGTACTTGTACGTATTTTTACCAGAATTCTGTTGTTGTTGTTTTTCTTCTGTCAACTATTTTAACTTGTTTTCATTCTTCAGAATAAAGAAACATTACGTGAACGACGTTTGGCTTTTCGTCGTCAAAGTATATACTTAAATACTTTACCACCGAATAATTCAAAATGCAATTTTTCTCCACTATTATCAACTCATCCAGTTCATTTTCATGATCATGTTATTGTATGTTTGCATGCCGATTCAACATCACCTTCAATTGGTTTACGTAATTTTGTTATGCCACTACGTGCTAGTAGTTTTCAACGATCAGAATTAGTAACAATTATATTTGTTACTGATCTCAAATATATTGAAAATGAATGGAATACTCTAGCAACATTTCCAGATATTTATATTTTAAATGTAAGTGTATTCTTCAACGTTTCAAACTGAACAACAAAAAACAAACATCTCAAAACATATAAATTTTTTTTTCTTTTTTTTTATGATTTAGGGTTCTCCATTGGATCCTTATAATTTAAAATTGATTAATATTCAAGAATGTCGAATATGTGTAGTTATTTCAACATTAGATCGTGGAAATTCTGATACCTACTTAGTTGATAAATCATCAGTCTTATGTACTTTAAATATTCGACAAATTGAAATGAAATCGGCACCACATCTGTCAACATTCAATATTTTACAGCCATCATCAGCTGATTTGAATGCAACATTACTTAACACAATAAAAACAATTACAACACTAAGTATAGAAAATACACAAATTTTTTTTTATTCAATCTCTTTCTACTTTAATTCTGTTTTCTTTTAGCTATTGATTCAAATGTACAGTATGTTGAACAAGGTAAATGTTTTTTAAATTTGTGTTGATAATGCAATATAAATCTTGAGAGATACTCGTATAAAAGTCATTAATTGGAGAAGTTATAAATGTTCAGTTCATACTCAGATCATATTATTCATTATGATATGTAAGCTACAATCTACTTCACAACAGAAGCGTTTCAAATGTTTTTTGAATCACTTATGAATAACAACAACAACAAATGTAGATATTTACGGCAAGACTTAATCAGGTCTTTTTTTGTTTCAACAATATTCTGAAACTTGGATTTACCTGACTCATCATTTTTGATAAGATCATGTGGAGTATTTAACTGAATTATTTTATCACGGCTGGACAGAGATTAGCGTCTTCTACAAGACTATACAAATTTGAGATCGTCAGCTATCAACGTAAAGGAGAAGGAGCAGTTTTGATGTAATCACCACCTATCTCCCATTCTAAAAGTTGAGTAATACTCGAAAAGAATACAAACATAGGTCATCGACTATGCTGAACAGATTAGCTTAATTTTCTCGTATCTTTCCCAAAAAAAGAAACGATAAAGTGCCATCCCTAGAACAGATAGCTAATATTTATTTTCAGAAATGATCGCACAGGATTCTATTATTGTAAATATTTTTTACCAGACACTTGTAGGATAAAAACATTTAACATCAGCATGTGCGCGATCTCTATATCAGATCCATCATCTAAAAATCCACTTTTTAGAACAAAAAACAAAGATGTGATTAAGTCTTGGCTATAAAGCCGTAGATCTCTATATCTTTTGTTATTATTTATTAAAAAAATAACTTTTTCACTCTAAATCTTACTTTGTAATGCTATACATCTATTATTTTTATTCAGGTGACACTGATGAAGTTGAATTAGAATTTTTTTTAACCACTCCATTTGCATCGGGTGAGTAATTTTTGTTAAATAGATTCATATTGTGAACACTATGTTTATCTATTGTTCTATTTTGTTTAGGCGCCGCGTTTGCTGATAGTGTACTCGATTGTATATTAAGTTGTGTAAGTATATTGTTTACTAAAACAAAATGTTGATTCAATAATAATATCTCTATCTCTCTAGGCCTATTATAATGATAATGCTGTTAATTTATTGAGAAATATATTGACGGGTGGTCTCGATTCTCAATTAGAAGAAATATTAGCGGAAGGGGGTGGATTTTCACAATGTGAATTACCTGATATTTTGAAAAAACGAAAACGTGCTAGAGTGGCTATGTTAGAAATTCAAGAACTCATACCAGATATCTATACAAGAGTAAGTTAATGAATTTAATTTATTCAAATCAAATAACCACATCTCTCTCTTTCTCTCTTTCTCTTTCTATTTTCTTTTGTTTATTTAGCAAAGTCCCGTAACATTTAGCACATTATTTTGTGAATCAATGCAACGTTCTAATATTATTTGTATGGGTATTTATACATTAATGGATGTTTTACTTCGAAAGGAGCCAAATTTAATGGATAAAAAAAATTATGAACAAGTACGTTATACGGGTCATAAACGAATTGTTATTTGTTATCCACCATACAATTATCACATTGATCCATCTGATATGGTAAGTATAAATAAAATGAATAACAGAGATTAATAATCACAACATATAAATCTATCATAGATTATTCATTTGTACAAGAATAAAACACAACAGAATCTATGTAGGACAAAAATAATTGATTATTTAGACTAAAGAAATTCAATATATTCTAGTCTAATTAGCGAATAAAATATTTTTTCAAAAAAATAAAATATATTCTATATATTCTTTTGTTTCTAATTTTTTAGATCTATGTGATGCAAAATTCCCAGCCAAATGACTTATATTCTCAAGTGGATTTAGAAGCAAAAAATTGATTTTTTTTGTTCTTCATACATTTTTTCTTAATCAATGTCAAATAATTAATCTCAAACAAAACATTTTCTTATGCTCAAGTGAACCAAACATATTCTTCAACAGTGAATCGTTTTATATTGCAGTGATATATATTTATTCTTATTTTATTTATTTGTTTGTTTGTTGTCTGATCTTTTTTTTCCACGATTACATTAGTTTTTGAAGTTATTTCAGATGAACGTGAATATATTATGTGTTATTTTTATAATAACTGATAGAACGATAGTTTAATCAGTTTAATAAACGAGTTTGGAAAGAAAAATTATGCAAAAAAAAAAAAGAAACAATTTGAAAAAGTGATACATATAATCATGGTAAAAGAAAAATGCAGCGAAAATCCGTTCGTTGAAGTTGAAATATTTTTTGTTTTGCTGCCATTTTAAAACAAATTACAATAATTTGTTTATCGTATTTTATCCAAAATAATTCCATCTTTTATAGCAATGTGAAAAGAAAAGTTTACAGTTATTTTAAGAGACTGAATGACATAAGTTATTCACACTAGGCATTAATATCTTTTTAATAATTCACACTATTATTCGATAATTTCAAGATTAATTTACATTCAAGTTTACTCTGTAAATGTGATCTATCTTAACCTCAAATTAAAGAATATTTTTAGCAGAGATAATAAGAATGTTTGTTTTTTTTATGAGAAAAAAAAAGAAAATTTTTCAATGAACGAGTAAACATTCTGCTCAGGAGTGCCTGTTGTGGATCGAGACACATCTGACTGAATGTTCACAGACCAAGAGAATCAAACAGTCGCTTGTTCCATAAAATGGATGCTGGTTAATCTGAGAGAAAAGATGGTGAACTGAACAATAAGAGATAAACAAACTTTATTCGCTAGGTAATTTTCTACAAACCGTAATTTCAAGATTTCTCTTTTTAATGTACAGAAGTAATCAAAGAAATTAAGGCAAACTAAAATGGAATATCTCTTTTTAACGCTAATGTTCTTCGAAGATTCGCTGAAATTAGGCACGAGATGATTATTAGGTCTGAATAACTTTGATCAATTCGAAATTCTGGACACCGATTTTTAGTATAAAACAGCGGCATGCGCATTGTGTAGATAGTCCAGCGTTACCTAACGGACAGATTTAAAACGTTTCCTGTTCTGATAACTTGAGGAGATAAATCATTTTTAGTCGCTTTTATGCTACTTTTCTAAGCGCTGGTCCTCAAGATGACAAGATATCAAAGAATGGAGAGTGCAAATTGCAACATGGTCTTCTATGGACAATAGAATAAATAAAATATATATAAATTGGATAAAGTGTAAAGTTTTCTTCTGATATATACTCATTTCATTATGAGGAGATGACTGATCTCATTTTCTCTGGTCGACTGTTTCGTAAGAAAAACCTAGGTAAACTTGCAGAATCCTTCTTTTATGGACTTGAGATGTTTTGGGAAGTATTCTATGAAAATGTCGTTTAATCTTTTTCAATTGATCTATGTTTCTTGTGTCACCATTAATAATAATGGGGACTCGTTCTCTCTTTTGGTGGATACAAGTACATGAATTTCTGTTTCTTTTTTTTTTCAATAAATAGCTTATAACAGATGCCGTTTAGAAAAAAAGTCACGATTCTTGACAATTACTGAATGAAGAATTCACGCAGATCAAGAGAAAATGTGTTAAATCGAGATTTTAGTTGAAACAAAATATTAAGCGATTGTTGAAATTCAGAATCAGCATAAGGTATATTTTTATAATTGTTGAGTTTAGCAAACTGTTTCATAAAAGCATAGTTTGGAGTGTAAATTTCATGACAAATGAAGTTTTTTGACAGCGGTATCAATCATATAAGATTTCGGCTTTAGACTGATTAATCGATGACTCATAATGTGACGAATCAGCTTATTTTTTCCGTTAGCTTCACACAGGATTGGATACAACTCTGATAAATAAAATAAAATGTTGACTTTTTGTTGCAGTCAAGAGAACAGGATTTTTACTAGATCCGAAGAAAGAACTTTGGTGGCTTTACGAAAGAAAATTTGCGTATTTTTACACCGTACATGTACAGACAATGAAAATCCGCACCTCTCACATTTTTCGTCATCTGACAAATCGTTTCTCTTTCACAACACTTAGTAATTTTAGTCTTATAGCAATGCTTGATAGTTTCAGATCTTGGCATAACTAATGATCGAATGATAAATTGTTTCAGAAAATATAATCGAATCTTTTTTGAGAGAAGTTTTTCTAATAATAAGAAAAATTAATATCTTCTCGCTTATGTTGATGACATTTTCTTTTCTAATTTTAGATAATGTAAAACATTACTAGTCATTTTACTATTAAGTTGTTGCTGTTTTTCTCATTTTAAAAGATGCGACATCCTAACCGGTGATGATTATTCGACAGTGTTTTCTAATTTTATTTTTATTCTCTTCATGTTATAAATGTCGTATTGAATTAGATGTACCAGCGCATGGTTCATTTGTACTTCACGATCGATCATCTTTATTATCATCGGCTCTTCTCACGCATCCATCACATTTGAATCGTGATGTTTTAATTAGTTTTGTCCATATCGCTCCGAATTTTATTATACGAGCATTATATCAACAACTCAATGTTGAACAACGTTTAATTGTTGATAAATATATGAGTAATAGCATAAAAACAGGAAAACAACAACAACAACAACAACAACCACCATTACAACCAGTACCAGACACAGAACCAGTTATTCGTTCATATATTTTATCAGAAACATATAATCGTTCAACACCGTTCATTCATGTTTTGATAGCTTCTACTCGACCTCATTTGCATCAGATAAAACCGTTTTGTGCCGTTGTGAGTGCCGTGAATGGTCAACAGTTTTATGAGACAAGTGCATGTTTTATTCAACCAAAATTAGGCTATTGTCTCGTTACATTACCCACTATCAAAACAAATGATAATTTAAATCATACAAAAATTATGGAACTCTATCTAAAGGTAAAAAATGTCATACATACAAAACTGTGAAGATAGACGATACAAAATATGATCAAATTCATTTTTCAGTTGAGATGTTTTCTTTAAAATTTTATTTGTCATATGTAATAAGAGTTGATAGTTTAATAGTAGAAATAACTAAAAGATGAAATTTATGTTTATATTTTAGCTTCATCATGTAACATATCAAAATGAATGTTTATCTGATCATACTCCAAAACAAGAGCATTTTCATTCTGAACAACATATTGGTAAAGTGGATTATTTGAATGACAATGTTGTCTATGATACACTCAACACACACTCGTCACTAATTACTATTGATTATCCAACAGGATTATTTTATCCAAATTGGTTATTCGATTTGAAATTAAAATTAAAATTAAATAAATATTCAAAATTTCTAACAATAAGGTAAGAAAAATGTTTGTTTTTTCTACTTCAGAACACGACTAAGACATATCTCAATTAAAACTAGCTTTGATACATAGTATTTTTACTTCTTCAATTGTTTTTAATTTGAACTAATCAAGTCTACTACTCTTGATAACTTGGTGTTTATCAATCATTTTTCGGACACTTTCATTCGTTGTTTTTGAGACACTGCCCCGTAGTCCTAAGAGTTTGTTCTAAGCTCGATCGATAGAGAATTGAATTCGCTACAAACCTGCTATCAGAGGTGCAGAATCTACCCGTTTGGGCCGCATCTACCCGTTTTGTGGTCTATTGATCTTACTTCTCTACTTATTCATTTACAGCAATTATCAAACTTCAGAAATTTTTACCAACGGTAACTTTCTAGACTTTCGTTTGGTTCGATGAACTATCAGAACAAAGCCCTTTAAAATTGTTTATGAAGAGAACTTTAAATATCCTAGCTAACGATTACAGGGAAAGTTCATATACTTAGGGTTGACCAAAAGTTCGTAGAACGATGATGCTCGCTCCCCTCACATCGCGATCAAAACCTTTGGTCAGCTCTAAGTATATTCTGATAGCGCTGGAAATTCTCTATCGTCCTATATATTTGTCTACTGTCCTGCATTTATCTATTGCAAAAATAACTTGAGTACAATGAAGATACACTCAATTGACACTCGCTACTTTTTATGCTTTTTCAAATTATAGATACTATGAAAATAAATCTTTCTAAAAGGAATTAAACATTCTGATAGAGCTTCAAATTCTCTATCATCCTGTATATTTTTGTTCTATCTTGCATTTCTGTGCTGAAGAATAATTTGACTATCATGCAGGCACGCTT